CCCTAAATAGGAGATTACTGAACCAGTACAGATGAAGTGGATGGACAGGGTCTCCATGGAGACCAGCCCAGGACTGCAGGCAGAGCTGGGCAGATGGATGGGCTAGTAGCGGCATCTGGGAACGAGACTGGCAAATGGTGCCAGGGCTGGGGCCAGAGCAGACCTGCAATCTGCTCCCTGCATGATGGATCATGACCAACCCGACCCAGGAGGCAGGTGGAGGGCATGCCCAGTGACCCGGGCCCCGCTGCCCTGCCCCAGCACAGGTGCATGCAGGCAGCCCCAATATAGCATGGCTGTGCAGAAGCATGGCCTGGCACTGTGTGGCGGCCCTGATGGATTTTGACTGGATTAGGCCACCCCTCACTGCTGGACTCTGCTTTTCCACAGCTGTGCTGTACTGGGGCAACCCTGGTAATGGGGGCTGGGTTATGGGCATGCAATCCACCCCACTCCTGGGTCAGGCTGATCATGAGCTGTCATGTGGGGAGCGGATCGTGGCTGTGCCCCAGTCCAGCCCACACCGTCACCACCCTGTGATCCTGGACCCAGCTCCCATCCATCCCCATTCTTCTCCTGGATGCTGCTCCCTACACACCCATCTGCTCAGCCCTGCCAGCAGGGGTCCCGGGCCAGTCTCCATGGAGATCCTGCCTACCTGCTGTATCTGGCAGCCCTGGAGGTGGGTGCGGGGTGGACATGGCCAGGGTGCCTGAGGAGCAGCAGTGGAAACACTGGTGGCAGCAGCCGGGAACCAGAGTGCAGCTGCCATACCGCCCCAGACCTGTTATATGCCCGAGGGTAGCAGGACCAGCCACATGCACCACAGTCCAGGGACCTGCTGCAGGTTGGATAAAATCCCTTGGTGGGCCAGATCTGGTCCACCGGCCATATTTTGCCCACCTTGCTATACTCCAATAAGCTAGTTTCACAAATTAAACTCATGTCTATTTTACACAGCCTCCAGTGCCATAATGAGCTATGGACTTTTATGCACATAACAGTGTGGCTAGGTGTTTAATAGAATTACAAAGGTGTCAATGGGTTAGGCTCCATAAGACATAGATGTCTACTGTAGATAGTCTTGTAAATACCATCTAGGTGCCTGTCTGCATCTTTAGATACATGTGTAAGTTTGGTAAAGAGATACCAATTAATTTATTAGGCTTGGTAGGCAGGGGAAATTTCTTAGCTACTGAAACAAAGACCTGACCCTTTCAACTCCTCAGAGGCACTCTTTCTTACAACTCCACTCCTTCCCTGACAGCTCATGACCAGCCTGACCCAGGATGGGGTGGAGTCGCACCCATAACCTGGCCCCCTGCTACCAGGGCTGTCCCAGTACAGTCCAGCTGTGGAGGAGCACAGCCCAGCAGTGAAGGGTGGCCTAATCCAGTCAAAATCCTCATGGTGGTTGCAGGCATTTCTGCATTTGTACTTGTTTAGAGCCATCAAAGTGAATTCTAGCCTGTGGAAAATGCACAGAGCTATTATCTTAATTATCTTCATAAGAAGAATTTAGTTAAGGCATGGAAGTCTGAAGAGCTTCACAAATGAAGTGATCTCTCTCTTTTTTTTCCCCCTCGCTATAAAGCAAATACTTACTGTTACAGTCTGTCAGGCCACACCCTGGAACTTGAGGCTTTTGCCTGACAGCACAGCTGCTCATCTCAGCCTGCCAGCCCATGACTACCTACCCAGGCTGGTTAAAGCTGGTGCGAATCCTCCAGTAGAGCCTAACCCTCTGCCCACTCCCTGGTACCAGAATGGCTGGCCAGGGTCAGCTGACCCTCCGCTGCCCCCATATAAGCCCCTGTCCTGGAACAGGAAGTGTCTGGGCAACAGAGTGGTTTGTGGCTCCCTCTGGCTTGCTCCTTAGCTTCACCCTCTCTTTGCTCTCCTGGTTTCTTGACCTGACCCTTCCCTGGATTTTGCTCCTGGATTGACCTTCTGGCTTCCTGACCCAGTTTGACCTCAGATTCCACTATCCAAGTCCTAGTCAGTACTTTGATTCCCCAAGTGGTCCCAGACCAGGCTGCCAAGTGTTGTTTTGGCATGACATAGTCTTGTACCAGTTTGATGCTTACTCAGTATAAGAAGTAGACATTGGCACTATGATCAGAAATGTTTGAGTACTTACAGGCTTCTGACATGCCCTTGACTGTGTAAACAGACATTTACAGAAGTAAACCCTTGTTTTCACATTTATAAAGGAAGGGCAAAAAAACCCTTTTTTTCCTGTGTTCAGCACCAAGTAGCTTAGTCCTGCAGCCAAGTATCTCACTAATACCAGACTGAGTAACACTCCAATTAGCCATCTGAACAGTTTAACCAGCATATGAGCTGTAGGCAATTACAGTGAATTCCAGTCATTTTAATAGTATCTTGTTTTGTGAATAGACCTATTGTTTTAAATAAGACTTCTAATAGAGTGAGTTATAGTCTGTATGAGTAAGACTAGGCAGAGTCCAGACATAGAATGAATATGTGTATCTTTAATACTCATCAAACAGAGTGAATAGGAATGTTGTTTTTTTTGATCATGCAATCAAAAATGGACAGTCAATATAGTAGCATGGAAGCAAAAGGAGTGAGAACAACATTGTATTGAAGGAACTGTTTGTTTATTTGGAATGATAGCATATTCCCAAAGAAAAGAAATTAAATTTTGGTGTCCCAGTTCCTTAGATAGTCTTGAAAATCACAGGGTTTAGTGTGCATCTTTCTTGTTCTGAGTAGAAGAGTAATTGTCTCAGAAACCTTTCCAGTCCTCTCAGAGGGCGCATCTACACAAGATGCTCTACTGCACATTAGACTAATCTAATATGCAGTAAAGCGTCACTATCTACATGTGTACGAGACTTACTGTGCAGTAAATTAGACTAATGTGTGGTTTGCTAGTACCAAGAAATCAAGTAACGGTGCATTAGCTACTGCACAGTAGCACATGTGTAGACACTGACTGGGAGTAATTTGCTTTTAGGTAGCAAAGGGGCCACAGATGGTTGGGGGGTGGTGGTGTTGCGGGAGCTGTCCACAGCTCCAGTGTGGAGCTTGGGATCACAGCTGAGCTTGGTGGCACTGACTTAGGTCAATACCTTCTAGCCAAGTGGCGGCAGGGCCCTGAACTGTCCCCTCATTTTGCTTGCTGAAGGGATGGGGGAGTTTTCTCTCCTCTTGACGCTGAGAGACAAAGAGTGTCCCTGTCCCCTCAGCCATGTTGCTGCCCATGCAGTGCATGCACCAGTTGACTTCTGCTCACCTCCCATGCTTGGGGGAGCCAGGAACTGAGAAGCGCTGGGACCAGGGAGGAGCTGCAAGCAGGGGTTAAGCAGTGCTAGGACCAGTGGGAGCCACAGGGGGAGGAGGGGTAAGCAGTGCTGGGATTGGGGAGTAAGCAGTGCTGCTTCTCCCGGTCCTGGTGCTGCTTAGCCCCCTCTCTCCCCTATGACTCCGCCGAGTCCCAGCAGTGCTTAGCTCCTGGCTTTCCCCTGGCACAGACATGGAGCAGGAGTTGACTGGTTCATGCACTTGATGGGCAGCAGCAGGGCTGAGAGGACAGGGAAGCTCTCTGTCCCCAGCCTGGCACTGCAGAGAGCTCCCCTGTTCCGGGGCTGTTCAGCTCCTAGCTCCTAGGGGAGCCAGGAGCTGAGCAGCATTGGGACTGGGGTCAGAGAGCTCCCCCATCCCCCCAGCAAGCCAAGATAGAGGAGAGCTTATGGTGCTGCTGCTGCTCAGCCATGGGGCAGCACCCCACAGGTTGTGATCCTGAGCTCCATGCAGCTGGGAGTTGTCGCCTCTTGCTCCCCAAATCCCAGGCTGGCACCAGGGGAGCCTGGAGCTCCCCTTGGCTGCTGCAGGTGCCCAGGAGCAGCCCTGGACTCAACTGCTCCTGTTGGGAGCAGATTTGCTCCCAACGCGGACACATGTAGATATGCTCCTGGGCTCAGTTTACTGTGCCTTATTTTAATGCAAAGTAACATTAATTGTACACGTGGACGTGCCCAGAGAAGAACCACAGCCACTTGAGAGCAACTCTACCTGTGCTTATTGGATCCCCCATGAGTGTCAGCAATACCCTATGCTTTATGTTGTGTAGGGCAAATAATAGATCTAATGTTATATAATGAATCTCAGCAGACATACTGGGTCT